ACTAGATTTCACTACCAATTTTGTATTATTAATAGTTCACTGAGGAAGAATAGTCTCTCCTATGGATAAAAATGCAAAACAAAAGTGAACTATATGATTCCGTTAAATACGCATATGTGTATAGATGCATATATATTACATATATATTTAAAGCTAGGATGCCACTGTGTCTGTATATTTGAGGATTTAAGTAACATCTCAAACAGATCACTTGTTTTCTTGTTTTTAAGGGATCTGAGATAATGCAGAATATCAGTATAGATTTCAAAAATCATCCCCAAATTTTCTTTTTCTTGATCCCTTTTTAATTCTTATGCTGACTTCCAAGTCTTTTTTTGTAATAAAGAAATATTTTTTCTCACAGGATAAGGACTACAAGTGTATGTATGTGTGTAAATACATATATATATGTAAATGTACGTTGTTGTTCAGTCATTTTTCAGTCATGTCTGACTCTTTGGGGTTTTCTTGGCAAAGATACCAGAGTAGTTGGCCATTTCTTTCTCTAGCTCTTTTTACATAGGAGGAAACTGAGGCAAACAAGGTTAAGTGACTTGTCCAGGGTCACACAGCTAGTAAGTATCTGAAGCCAGAGTCAGGAAGATGAATCATTTTGACCCCAGACCTAGCACACTATCCACTGTACCACGTAGCTACTCTATGTGTATATACTCGATGTGGTTTTAACAGATTTTGCCAATATTATTATTTATGTCTGTCTCACAGATAACATATAGCTTTACATTATAAATAGATTATAACTAGCTACCTGCTAGAATCAGATAAGCAGTCATTTGAAAGCCCATACTATTCGATGAAAAAAAAATGCCCACTAATAATCTATAGTACATCACTACATATTCTCCTTAATCCAGAATTCTGGCAATCTGCTAGAAGCTGATATACCAATAAAAATGTTTTGGAAAATAATTTCAGTGGTACAATTCCTTCTCACCATGGAACAAACACTATTTGATATTTGATTATCATCTAATATTAAGTAGCCATCATGTTTTCACTGCAATTTTCTAAGAATACCTTCCTTAGTGGAACATCTGATGGTGACTGCGAAGTCAGTATGCCTTTCATTGGTATAAGCTACTATTATTCATTTTCTAGGTCTACATACTCAGAAAAAAAGCACAATGTCCTTTTTCAATAGAGCAATTGTACATGAGATGTTTCCTTAATACCCTTCACTTAGTGGCAGGTTGTAAATCCATTTTTGTTTCTGCCAGTTGCAAGAGCACAATAATCACAACCCAGTTTTGATAACCAGTACCATATTTCTAAGAACTGTTGCCAATGAACCTTAGGTTAAGGTAAAAAGCGATAGAATGAACACTCCAGTGGTCCTCTATTACCTCTTGGATCAAATATAAAATCCTCTGACTTTTGAAGCCTTTTATAACCTGTCACCTTCCTACTTTTCCAATCTTCTTACACCTTTCTTTCTTCCACTCCTATTCTTGCACTTCCTTCATACTCTGCAATCTGGTGACATTGGCCCCCTTTCTGTTCCTCATAAAAGATACTATCTCCCTACTCCAAGCAATTTCACTGGCTAGCCTTACTCCAAACGCTCTCCCTCTGTAACTCCATCACCTGGTTTTTCTGGCTTCCTTCAAACCTCAACTCAAGCCTCCCCTTCTGGGGGCTATCTCCAGTAGTCCTCATCTATATCTTGCCACTGGACTCAGATGGTTCCAAGGAGAAAGTGAGGCTGATGACTTTACACAGCCCTCCTTCACTTAATCTAATTCACTTTCAAGTCATGGCAACACTTTCCTGATGTCATGATCCTCTTCAAGAATAAGAAGGAAGGACAAACAACAAAGCCCCACCTTCTACAAGGACCTTTTCCTGATTCTCCTTAATGCTAGTGCCTTTTCCTGGAGATTATCTCTAATTTATCCTGTATATATCTCCTTTGTACGTAATCCTTTGCATACTGTCTCCTTCATTAGACTATGAATTCCTTGAAGGTAGGGACTTTGTTTTAGCTTTTCTTTCTAGGGCTTAGCACAGTGCCTGACACACATTAGGTGCTTAATAACTGTGCATTGACTTAACTGGGATGAAATGATATAACCAGGTCCTTTGGGAATCTTAATTAGAGTCCAAATTAAACCTGTCTTAAATTAAAACCCATGGCAATGAAGGTTACATTACAGCAAGTGAGCTTCTAAGAGATGGTTATTAGAAAATTCTGTGGAAGAATCATTTATTTTCCATTCTCCTCAAACAGAGAGGGAATCTTAGTGTCCTCATTTTTGAAGACATTCCCTTCACACTCACTCCCTTCCCCCTAATCTTTTGCTTTAAAGAAGTGGAACAGTTCCACATCAGCAAAATCAGGAAACTTGGAAGGCTCTGGTTTAGAATGGTAGAATGAATTTAATTCAGTGTTTTTGGAAGGAGATTCTCAAATGCCTCGAAAAAATATTTGCTCTTACTAATAATTAGGCCATGCTGGGAAAATTGTCTCAGTGACTTTAAAGAAGGAAGAGTAAAATGGATATCCAGTCTCTTATCTTTGGGGTATGTATGGAAGATGTCTATTCCAAAGGAATTTGGCTTCCATTAGGATAAGGACTGGACCAGTGATTTTACTGGTATAGGTAAGGAAATTCTCTCTTCCACTGCATATTAGCACCTCCTCTGTGACTTATAGTCTTAGAGAACTCCCAAGAACACTAAGAGGTAAGGGACTTGCCTAAGATCCCACAGTCAGTAAGCGTCAGATGTGGGACTTGAACATAGGATATCTTGGCTTCTAGGCCAGCTTTTTACCACATACCATCATATTTCTCTTCACTTCCATAGAATGAGAAAAAGCATAGATGGCATTCAGAGAGCATGGGCCGGGCATAATGGCACAACTTGGTGGAGAGTCCCCTTAGGCCCCAGCCCTCAGGGGAAGTAGAGGGGCCAAAACTCTCCCTCAGAGTGTACCCTGCCTACAATTCCATGTGTCCATGAGTAAATGTTGAAATAATTGAACACATAAAGCATTTTCAACTAGAGTGTTAGTGCTTTAAGTAAAAAACAAAAACAAAACTCCGGAGAATATTTTGACATCTAATTTCAGAATAATTGGTAGGTGGTTCTTTGGTGACATGTGCTAGCTTTCCTTTTTGAGACACAAAAACACTCGGGTGGAGAACTAGTCTCTTTGGGATAAGGCAGGGCTAATTTAACCTCCACATTGCCAAAAAATAAAGGGAGTGCGTGTGTGACTTCAACAGAGGTTTGGTTATCTCTGCACTGACTTTCTTGCTTCACGGCATTACATTCATTTTTCCTATTTTAGGATAAATGTAAGAGATGTACAAAAGATAAAACAGCATTCTCATATATGACCGCATTTTAGTGGTGGAGAGTGGGGAAGAAAAATGATGAGTCATTTCCCGCCATAAGTATCCACTCCCCAGTCATTAATATGGACACTTTTGGAAGGTGGTTTATTTAGCTTCTACATCTATTGTGCTAACTGGATTCTTCTTCACTCAGTGATATGAATAGTTTCCAAGAGTAGCCTACAGCTGATGCAAGAGAACAATTTGTTCTCCATTAAACAGTGACAGATGACATCTTGATTTAGCTAGATAAATTCTCTAGATTTTTATGACCCTTCGTCCCTTCCTTTACCCATGGCAATCAACTGAAGTAACATTTAGCAATGAATTCTGCTATTTACTGCCTGGGTAAACTTGGGCACATTGCTGTCACTTTCTGGGTCTCATTTTCCATATCTGTAAGCATCAGAAGTTTGGATTAGGAGGCTAAGGTCCTTTCCAGCTCTCAGTGTGTTACGAATCTACAATTGTGTTCTGCTATAGGAAATATCACATCAAAAAATATTTACTGAGCATCTTTTAAGTCTCAGATATTCTTTTATATTAAATGTAAGGCATAGTATCATCCCTCCTGAAGTTTTTAAGTCTATAGGACGAAACATTTCTCTGACTGATGCACAGTAATGTTGGAAATGTCTGTGGAGATTTGCAAAGTGGCATATTGACTAGTCTGTGACCTTGCTGGTAAAGGCTATCCATGGGAGTGCAATTCATGATGAAATTTTTCTGCCAGTCTGAGGTAAGCCTTTGGCTTTTGGAGCATGCTGCTAACTTGCCATTCACTATAGAATTTGAATAGAAAAGTTCTATTTTTCTCAGGTAGGTGTAATACTATGTGGTCTAAATCAGCCAGATATTTTATCAGTGTGCCATGATTTGTGCTGCAGTGTAATCAAAGATGCAAAATGCTTCTCTCCAAGACCTTCCAACAACCTGGAAAAGATCTAAAGTCAGAGCTGTAATAATAACATATTTCTCAAGCACTTTAAGGTTTACAAACCACCATCAAGCTAATATTATTATCACCATTTTACAGATGAGGAAATGGAGGTTTATTGAGGTTAAGTGAGATGACTGAGATTAAAGAGCCAGTTGCTGGCAGTCCTAATTAGTTAATTCTGCACTTCATTAGACATACATTGGACATCATTTTTATTGGAAGAATGAATACCTGTTACAGCATTGTTCTACTCCTACTGGTGAAATAAATATAATAAATGCATATACTTAATAATATTATGTTGATAACATTTTACTGTTTATAATTCCATATTCATGGATTATAACTTCTGCTTTAGAAATGAAGAAACTTAAGCTCAGAGGGTTTAAGTGACTTGCCCATTGTAACCCAGCTAGTTAAGTATGACTTGAAGTCCACTATGCCAAGCTGTAGACCTTAAATAGGTGTTTTGTTGGGTATCAGGTGTGATGATTTCATATACATAAAAAAGGAAATCCCAAAGGTTGAACTCTGGGAATATCATCAGTCCCTTTTTTCATACATAGACATTAAGGCTTGCTGTTCAGAGGGTATAAAAGCTACAAATTTGAAAACATAAGCAGACACATTAAAAAAAAATAAAAACAGCTTCAAACAGGCAGTTCAACATTACATAATAGAAGAGGGAAGAATTTGCCTACCTTTCTCCGATGGGATGGTACAATAAAAAAGGTTTCGATATTATGTTTTTTCAAGAAACTGTTCCTCTCGTGTCCAAAACCTGGTTCTACCTCGTAGTCCCCATTTAGGCACTCTAAGGTCGTCTTTGTGATATGAACCTTCCTAGAAAAAAGGAGGCAGATGTTCTGAAAGGAAAAACATTACAAGAGCTCCTGGCTATTTCAAAACTCAATTCTCGCTATTTTGAATGCTCCATTGGAAGCACTGTTATCAAGGCTAGATCAAGACATTTTGAGACTTTATCTTATGTAAAATATAAGAAGGTCCATAAATAGAGTATTACTTTCATAGAAAGGCCACAGTAACCAACAAGTTTAGTATTTATCTTTCCATATATACAAAGGTGAGTCACCTTAAAGAAAGAGGAGGAGGGGTAGGTAAAGCAGAAAGCAGAGATATAATAGAGAAAAGAGAAAGGAAAAAGAAGAAGAAATAAGGAAGGAACAAAAGGAAGGGAATGTTGGCAGAATTATTAAGAAAAAAAAAACTGAGCATGGCCCCAGTGAAGAGAAGATACCCTACCCTACTCCTTTGCAGAGATGGGGAGTCCACAGGTGGAGAACAGTGCATATCTTTGTAGATTTTTTTAGTGTACTGATCAGTTTTGCTGATTTTTTCCCTTCTTCCTCTTTTTCTTTAAAAAAATATTCTTTGTGACAAAGGATGACTTTAGGGAGGGAGGAACACTGGGATGTTAGGAGAAATTTAGACAATATTAAAATAAAATATATCATTGAAATTAATTTAGAAATAGGACAGAAAAGAGGAAAAGGTAGAATAAAAAGGGGAATCATGAGAAAATGGTAAAAGAGGGCAAGAAAAAGGAACAAAACAGAACCATTTCACTAGGTGGGCTGGGAAATCCCATTAAAGCCTTCCAACTAGAACACAGTTACTTCAAAATGATAGGAGCTCTCCTTTTCCCCCTTATAATCCCTTGGAAATTCTGACACATGGTATAAAGTCTTTAAAAATCATGTTGGAAAGGTGGGCCTTAGGCCAAGAACAATTTTTCCCCTTTAGGAAAATGGATTAAGGTAAGTAGGTGGCACCATGAATAAAGTGCTGAAGATAGAGTCAGGAAGACTGGAGTTCAAATCTAGCCTCACACACTTAATAGTTTTGTGACCTTAAGCAAGTCATTTAATCTCTGTCTTGGTTTCCTCATCTGTAAAATGAGAACAATAATAGCAACTCTTCCCAGGGTTGTTGTGAAGATAAAATGAAATAATATTTGTAAATTGCTTTACAGACTTATACATATATATGCATATATATATGTAATATATAATATATACATAATATATATAAAATATATAACTATATAAAAACATTGTTATTATTATTATTATTATGTTATTTTTATTGATGGTATCTAACCTTTTAAGACAATAATTTTTGTCCTGTTCATTAGTCCTAAAGACCTATCCTTCTCCAATGAAAAGGGCTACAGGGTGGGGAACCTGTGGCCTTAAAGTCACACGTAGCCCTCTAGGTCCTCAAGTGTGGCCTTTTGACTGAATCCAAACTTCAGTAAAAAGGGCTGTACTTGAGGACCTAGAAGGTCACATGTGGCCATGAGGCCGCCCTGGGCTAAGATATCTATGAAAGCGAAGTCCTTTCGTTTACTCCAGGAGAGAGAGGTGTGGCCCAGCTGACTTGGTTATTTAACTATTCTTGAATATTAACCCAGGCTGTATTTTAACATGTATTTTTCTTCCTCATGATTCCTATAAATGTTCCCCCAAATCATTTTGTGACATTCATGTTGGAGGAGAGACAGGCTATATCAGTTTGAACAACTTTCTTGTTCCAAGTTAGAAATAACTTGCTTAGAGATTAATATTAAATTAAATAAAATTGTTTCTGGAAGATGGGCCTAAAAGCACAGAGTGCAGAATTAGTATTAATAGTTTTTTCTTTGACAAAACAAATATTTTTATTAATGGTCAACTCATTATTGTGTCTAAGATTATATGGGGAAATGTTTCAAAGAGTAAAAATTATAGTCTTTCTTTTTACATTCCCTTTAAAAGGAAGAAACCCTTTCATCCTGTTGGGTTGGGATTAGCTCCCAACTGCTCACCGAAAAAGAGATACAATCAATTTACAGATTCACCCGTGTTATCTTGGCAGCCTGAAGTGCGACTATTTGCAGACTTCAACCACCTAACTTACTACTAAGTAGTTCGTTTGGCACTAGGGCACAACCCTGCTGACAAAAACATTTCTCCCTAACCCACTAATCCTCAGGCCCTTGGAGAGAGAAATCTTGTAATCTGTTCTGCCAAATTATTTGGTCTGGCAACTTCTGTTTATGCCAGTGGTTCTCAGTCTTCTTGCTCTGTGGCTCTTTTGTTTGGGACAAGGGGAGGGCAAGGGAGAGGGGCCAGGGATATGACGATAATGAAAGAAGAGGATAAGGACAGAAGTGAGAGAAAGGGATAGAGGAATAGAAAAGGACAGAAAGGGGGAAAGGGAAACAAATGGGAGGGGGAAAGGAAACAGGAGAGAGGAAAGGAAAGAAGAAGAGGGGAAGTGAGGGAAAATGAAGGAAGGGAGAAAAGAAGGGATGAAAATAGAAGTAACGTTAGGTAGGTACACAAGGAACACAGGAGGGAGAGAGGAAAAGAAGGTAGAGAAAAAAGAAAGTATGAAAGAAGAAAAAGAGAGGGAGAGAGAGGAAAAAGAAGAGAATAAAGAAGAAATGCATTTTCCCTTTATTGGGAAGTGGCCCAGCAGCTAGGTGACTCAGCAGATAGAGCACTGGGCTTAGAATGAAGACTCGTCTTCATGAGTTCAAATCTGGCCTCAGACACTCACTAGCTGTGTGACCCTGGACAAGTCACTTAACCTTGTTTGTTTCAGATCCCCAACAGTAAAATGAGTGAAGGAGAAAATGGCAAATCACTCCAATATCTTTGTCAAGAAAACCCTGAATGAGTCAAACCACAAAGATTCAGACACGACCAAAACAAATGAACAACAGCCCCAGCACTTGCTGAAAATTCAATGGGTTTGGAAATCAGAAGATAAGTATTCAAATCCCTGCTTTGCCACTTAATACCTATGTTATCTTGGGCAATTCACTTACTATTTCTGGAACTCAGTTTATTCATCTATAAAATTAGGGGGTTAGGATTAGAATATCTCTAAGTCATTTTCTAGTTCCATAATCTATTATCCTACTGTCTTACAAATTAAATATGATCAGAAAATCAGGGAGAGGAAGGGAAAGAGCCAGCCTCAGAGATAGGCTGTGTTACCACACATTGCTTCCCTATAAGGGAAGAAGGACTTGTGTTAAAAGGAGCAAGGGACTGATAAAGGCACCTGGGTTGCCCAGAACTTGTCTATGAGAAGATTAAAGATGCAATCATGTGATCAGTGATCGATTGAGGGGAGAAATATCTGGCTGTTCAAAATGGAAATCTACTTTTGTTAATCATATTCTCTAGCTCCTAAGGAAATCCTTGCTAGTAAATTTCATAATCTCCAGTCTGGTAAATACTAATTTATATTCACCTATGATAAAGATTGCCTACTACCTGAAACACAGACATCGCATATATTCTAGAGAAAATATACTCTCCAGGTTCAAACCTTGACATCACACACACACTCACATCCCATAAAACAAAATTGCTGCTTCAATCTCAATGTGCCCTTGGATAACTCACACAACTCAGACATATATCCAAGGATCTCCTAAGAGCACATGCAAGTCCTGCCTTATGATTCTAATGAACACTAATGAAGATTCTCTGGCTGACCATTGATTGACTACTCTTGTCCTATTTTCATCTGAGAATGCTAGGATAATAGTGGGGATTGCACTATTAGAGATGTGGGACGTGGTGAAGATAACAATCATTTACTACTCCAGGCACTGTGCTAAACACTATACAAATATTATCTCACTTGATCCTCCCAATAATCCTAGAATGCAGGTGCTATTAAGATCCCCATTTTACAGTTCAGAAAACTGAGGCAGACAAGGGTTAAATGATTTTACCAGGGTCACACAGCTAGCAAGTGTGTTAAGCTGAATTTGAACTCAAATATTCCTGGCTTCAGGTCCAGGGCTCTATAAATTGTTTCATCTAGCTAGGTAAGAAGAAGGAAAAGAAGATCAATGACAGAACAAGACATGAAGGGCTAGGAAGAATCTATCCATGAAGGAGGAGTTTATGGAATCTGTGACCCTTTTAGGAGGAAAAAAAAGTTAGGTGGAGAGAAGGGGGGAATTAAATGAGGCATCACCATGTCTCCTGCCAAGGGTCACCATGATGATGGTTTCGAGGAAATATAGAGATTGTCCAGTTTCAAAACTCAATGAACCAATGGTCCCAAAGATACTTGGTCTAACTTCAATACATTCAGACCCAAAAACACAGACAAATTTTGTGCTTGCCATGTGTTGCTTTCTTTCCATAGATGAAACTGGAGATAGAAACTTAACTTGTCCTAAGAAATGAGCCAAGAACAGAAAAATAATTTCCTGATCCATGTCTTGGCTTTAACCAGACAAAGGCATAAGTATTTTTAGGTTGTTCATCCTGACCAAAAAGGTCAACTTGGGTTACAGTTTAGACGAGGCCTCCTCTTCAATTCCCAATGAAAATCATACTCTTTTGCATCTCAGTATATATCATTACTTTTTCCCATTGTCCTCATATGGCACATGAGTAGATATAACAACTTGCTTAAGGTCATGTGGAAAGTCAGTGGCAAAACTTCTGAGAGAATTTGAGATTCCTTCCTCCCATTCAATCATGGCAAACTAAATGAATAAGGATGCGGGAGCACAATCGATATTAGGCATTAAGGTAATCGTGATTCAGAATGTTTGCTTAAGGAGGCTTAATGCATGCAGCTATTGCTGATACCTTTTTATTTTTTTTCCCAATTCCTATTGTAACAAACCAAAAACTGGGCCCCACTTGTTTCCATCTTTAACCTTACCCTTAAATGATGACTAATCATGCTTGGACACTCTGATTAGGTCATGAGCAGAAAGAGTTAATGCGTTTTCCCAAGTGAGCAGTTTGCTCTTAAGACTTTCTATTAATGTTAGAGATAGAGTTACACACAGTGTCAAAGAGAGCATCACAACAGAGAAAGCTGACTCTCTGAGAAGGGTGTATGCATTAGGACATATACATTGTATTATCCAACACAGATTATAGCACACTTGGAAAAGCAAGATGGAACACATATTGATTATATTCCTAATCATGTGCATGTGTATGTATGGGAGTGTATAAGTGCCTCTTGAAGATTTAAACACGTTGAGTTTGTCATTGTCAAAAGTATTTTATTTACTTATTTGGGTGGGGGTGGAGGAGAAAGGGGAGAAGGGAGTTCCAAATCTGTAATTTTATGCAATTCCTGTTCCATGAAGATCTATACCTCTTCACTCAGGCACAGAGAGATTAAATGATTTGCCCAAGGTCACAAAGCAAGTATGGTTAAGAGATTAGACTTAAACCTAGGTCTTTCTGATTGCAAGGCCAGTGCTCTATTGACTACACTAAGCTTTCTGTTTAATCAAAAGATAAATGAGACTAAATGAAAGATGTTAAAATGAGATCCACAAAGCATTATTTTGTTTTTTTTCCAGACCTTAATACAATTCACACCACCTAGTTGGCACTTAATCAATGCTTATTGATTGACTTTATATGAACAAGTAAATTAGTAATAACTTTAGAAAGTCCTTGGGAATGAATTTTAATTCATTTTAAAGATATAATGTGCCTGTAGTTAATTTCTAAAATCAATTATATGTAGACATATATAAATGTATATGTATATGCACACTCATATATATGTCTATGCATTTTACTGAGTTTTTTCCCCCACATTTAAAGATTTAACTTTATATTAAGTTTTTGTTTTTTTTTTGGAAAACAATCTTTTAGCTCTACACTTATGCATGAAAGCCTATCAAGGAACCCCAATAAACAATCCTGAAATATTGTAATCAGTATAGTTTTCAGAGACTTACCCAGGTAATCCTCCAGTCTCCATTACATTTGCTAGAGTCACATCATTTGACCAGACATCATATTGCCACTTTCGAAGTCCCAGAACCCCACACAGGACACGGCCTGTATGAAGGCCCACTCTCATGTTGAGGTCAACTTCAGTGGCTTCTGCAACAGACCTGAAATGGACAATAGGAGACTTTGGTTCCTTAGAGGTCACTTTAACTTTTAATTCCTATGGAGTAGTGATGCTATATCCCGTGTTTTCTAAGGTACTGTATTAAAGAGATTGCTTCATGGTTGTAAGAATTTCATGCTTGAGAGCTCCCCCTTGAACCAGATTTCCTTCTAGGATTTTTAGGTCATGGGATTATATCTCTCAAAGAAACCTTCAAAATTCCCTCTTACGAAATGTAGGGTGTGTTAACAGATTATACTCTGTTTTCTTTTTATCACAGATTCCAAGATTCATTAGTTACTTCCTCCTAAAGATCTTATCATGTCTACTTCAGAAACCACTTCCTTCTGATTATTTCTTTCTCCAATTTTCAAAGAACTAGATTATTATCAAGACAAGTTTAAATTATCAAATGCTCTCATTTTATCAAAAAGCAAGTACCAGCAAGATGTTTGGATATTTGAAGCCCCCAAACTATATCATGCTTTTATGATGCATTGTGATGTGTTTCCTGAACTCATCATCTATTTTTTTCTTTCTGGACAAGTGCTCTATTGTATATTCTCATAATTATATTTTTTCTGTCTGTCCCTTCATGGATTATTTAACTCAAATGTTCTCCAACTATACTTCTCCTCCAGTTCCTAAAGGTCCTTGCATGAATGTGTCATTTTTAAAAATTAGACAATGCAACTTCACTGCCCCTTTTATCTCTTTAGAGATAAATTCCTTCTTCCATAGGGAACCCAGCAATTCCAACTTCGTCTCCAATCATTCTGATCGACATCTGGCCACTGGACCCAGATGTCTCTAGAGGAGAAAGTGAGGCTGGTCACTTTGCACAGTCCTACTTCACTCAAAGTCAATTGCAAGTCACATATGTCATTATCTCCCTGATGTCATGGTCCTCTTAGAGAACGAAGGACAAACCACACAAGAAGAACATGATATCTAGAATATAGCTCCAGAGTTTTATCAGTCCTTCTTCCCTTTCTTCTCTATATCACATTCTCTCACTCTATCAAAGGTTCTTCATTCTCCTTCATAGCTTACAGAATAGGCATACCTATTATGATAACTAGCCAGTTTATCATCTTCCCCTTTTGGAAGATCATCGTGCATTTTGTTTATATGCAGCTGTTACTTGACACAGTCAGAAAAACAAAAAATTCCCCTTGTCTTCGATACTTCTCGACAACAGCAAGGTTCTCAATTCTTAGTTGTTCTTGTGGCTAACTCTCATGAAATACTACCTAAATGCTACACTTTTTAGTTATTCTGGGGGCATTCTTACCTATTTAAGAAAAAAAAATATAGTGGTCTTTGCATTGGAGTAGAACATTGGGGCACAATTAGCAGATTCCTGCCAAAGTCCTAATGCAAAAAAAAGTGCTCAGTTGCCTATGGGAAGAAGAAATGGACTTTCAACTGCCTCTTACCTCTTTCCATTAATCAGACTTCTAATAACTTCTTTTGCCATTTATCTGCATATGAAAATATATATATATGAAATCACACATGCATACATGCATGTGTAAATATGCTTATATGTGTATGTCTATATATACATATTACACATGCGTATACATTTACAGATAGTCATTCTTCAACATTTACATATTTCACATTCTCCATTTTGGTTATTCACTGATTGGCCATTGATAATTAAATGGGAATTTTTGGACATTTGTGGCATACTGCAGAAAATTGCAAATGACACCCATATGTGAAGAAAACTAAAAAAGAATTAGTAAGTCATAATTGCATAAATACTGCATATTACTGATCTATTTTTATCATTTACTACCCTAAGTATATATACATATATAAATTTGTACATACATATGTATACATACATGAATTTATTATAAACAGTTAAATTTTATTAAAAGTTTCACTGTGTGTTGAAGAACTATAGGCTACGCATCTCTCTTTGGCAATGCCTCCTCTTTGGTTCCCTACCATCCAGATTCAGCCACGTGATTCTGCCTCCCCCCTCCCACCCATCCTCCCAGCAGTGATCCTTGTATCTTGTACTTTTTGTAGGAGAAGCAAATCAGTGAAGCGGTTGACACAACTACAACAGTGGCTATGAAGACTCTGCATAGTGTGCAAGATACTAATCTCTCCTGAGCAGAAACTGCAACATTTTTCATAGGTGCAGCACGTTGTTTTATTTGTTTTTTGTGTTAAATTAATATGATCAGAATTATTAAAAAAATAAAGGTTTGGTGTGGGGCCTAGAGATATTGGTGGTTTTTCACATTCTTGGGGGTCCTAAGCCCCTAACCCCCTAACCCCCACAAGTATTGAGGTATGACTATACATGTGTGTATATGCACGTGTGTGTGTGTGCATGCTACTACTCTCTACTCCTATGTATGGTCTCCCCTATTAGAATGTAGGTTTTTTGAGTGCAAGGAATGACTTACTTTTCAATTTGTATCTCTGGTGCTTACTTACCACAGCGCTTTGTATACAGTAAGTGGTAAATAAATGTTTCATCCATTCATTTATTCCAATACACCTTGTGCTTTCTCATCTTGCCTATTCTTACTGACCCTGTGTTCTATTCCTGGGATTTGCTTCCTCCTCCTCTCCATTGGCTGAAATCTACCTACATTTATCTATCTATCTATCTATCCATCTATCTATCTATCTCTCTATTTATTTATTTGTTTATTTATTGGCTAGGCAATGGGGTTAAGTAACTTGCCCAGGGTCACACAGCTAGTAAGCGTTATGTGTCTGAGGCCAGGTTTGAACTCAGGTCCTCCTGATTCCAGGGCCAGTGCTCTATCCACTATGCCACCCAGCTGCCCCAAATCTACCTACATTTAAAGCCCAATTAAAATGTTGCTACCAATTCTATGAAGCCTATCTATATCTCCATACCCCCACATCCAGTTGGTAAAAGACATTCTCCTCAGATCTTATCTTATACCTTGTTTTACAATTTCCTAATGCACTCATCATGTTGCCTGCACCTTATATCTTATTGCTTTCCTTGCTGGCATGCTCATGCCTAACCTAAGCTCTGCATTTTCCCTCAAAGCAGTGAGATAGCTTTATGAATGACAGTGGTTTAATAGATGCCTGTTGAATAAAGGAATGTGACCATATATTTAATCATGGCCCAGAGTCTGGAGTGTTTTTTTTAATTAAATACTATTTATTTCCAGTTAACCTTAAATATAATTTTTTAAAGTATAGAAATTATAAGCAAAGCAGTCTTTTTAAAAGTCTTACATGTAGTAGTGATCTAGGTCATAATAACAAAGAAAAATCATCAAATCATCTTATTCCTGAAATTACAAACTTTTCATTGAATTCACATACATTCCTATACTCCAGAGCACACATAAATTCAGTGTGTTATAAGGGACATTCTAGAGATAGTCCCCCCAATTCTTTCTCTATTTTACTTCAAATTTCTACAGCCAGAGCTGTGGAATAATTAAGAGGAATTATTGTTTAAGGAATTTGTACAGTATAGGAACCTTGAAATACTTAACCTGTAAGTAGAAAATTGCAATTCAACACACTAATTATAGATCCTGCATGCACCCACCCCCCAAACACTGAACAATTGCCCAGACTATTACTTCAAACCAGTCCTTCAGTCCGGTCCTTGGGTGTCTTCATTGCCATCATCCATGTTTTCATGAAGTAATTTTATCAACGAGCTGATACCGTTAACACCTTGGATTCCCAAAATAAAGATGCTAGCTTTTGAGTGAGACGTCCTTGAAAAAGAACATCTGGGACCTCCAAATGTGATGAATAAGAAGGCAAATGAGCAGGCATTTGCCTTGGCTTCAAAGCCATAAGGCTTTCTGCTGTGGCAGCTGCCACATATTGATGAGGAAAAAGAACATAGTGGAAGCAGATTGAATTGCTTGAATACTCAAAAGAACTGAGCTCCAGGCATTCACTTATATTGACAGGAATGACTTTAGCAGAGAAGCTTTAGTTTCAAAATCAATTCACTATATAGGTCTAGAGGAAGTTGGAAATAAGGTTAACTTTAAAAAAAGGGTACCCAATAGCAAATCATGCATTGTTCCCATCTACATTTGAGCAAAATATCATGCCATATGAATGTGGTGACCAATCATAATTTGAAGATAAATAGAACATACATTGTGGGATGTATTTCTTTTGGAATTTCTATTTGTCTAAATCCTTTCAGGAATGTACTCTACTGTTCTCTGCCCTGGTCAGAGCGTGTTTGGAATATTTGACTGAGATATGAATACCACACTTAAAGCAGGACAATGATAAACTGGAGAGTTTCCAGAGAAGGAAAGCCAGAATGGTGACCAGCCTCAAGACCATGCCCTGGGATTACTGTTTGAAGGAACTAGGGTTATTTTGCTCAGGGAAGAGAAGCTTCCAGGAGAACAAGAGACCTATTGTTACACACTTGAAATGTTCTCCTGTAGAAGTTGGATTACTTGGTCCCAGAATGCAGAGCTAGGAGGAATGAGTGGAAGTTGTAAAGAGGTAAAAGAGGTGTGGGCTACCTGGAGAGGTAATAGAAACTTTCAAAGGAATCTGAATGACTGCTAATTGGGTAGTCTTAAATGATTCCAAAAGAAATACATCCTACAATGTATGTTCTATTTATCTTCAAATTATGATTGGTCACCACATTCATATGGCACGATATTTTGCTCAAGTGTAGATGGGAACAATGCATGATACATATGTATGTATGTATGTATGTATGTGTGTGTAGATAGATAGATAGATAGATAGATAGATAGATAGATAGATAGATAGATAGATAGAT